AGATGTCTCACAAGCTAAGACCCAGGCCCAGCTCTCCCTTCCTTGGAAGAGGAACATCAGAAGCTAGATGAACAAAAGTTTGTCCTGAACACTGAAAAGCTGTCACTTTAACCAAAGGGGAGCTGTCTAAATTAGGTTTATAAGGAGACAAACTCAACTGTCCCATGTGGCCCCAATTTACAAGTTTGGAGACATGGGTTATAAATACACCAGGAAACCAACAGTTGAAACATCTCAGCCTCATCAGTGAAGAAACAGCTCAACCCTAGCTTAAGTGCAAGTATACTAGTGAGTAATCCGTGCAAGGGGTATCACCACACTTTGGCTTTACTAAGCCAGTTAAGAGTTCAGTGAATCCTCTAGTGGGCAGACCAAGACTCTCAGTACCCAGACAAAGGAGGGTAGGGTTTTTAAAGTCAAAAGGCTGTAATCATATCATACCTGGTGTAGGCTATGGGTCTTTACAATGTAACATTTGATCTTGTAAAAGATCACGCAAGGCTATCCATCTAGAACAACAGTTCTCTCCCTGTGAAGTAAGACCCTTTGTGTGTCGAATGACCGACCTTTCACAGGGGTCACCTAAGCCCATCAGAAAATACAGATATTTACATTGCAGTTCATAACAGTAGTAAAATCACAGTTATGACACAGCAACAAAAATAATTGTATGGTTTGGGGGTCACCACAACATGAGGAACTGTATTAAAGAGTCATAGCTAATATTAGGGAAGTTGAGAACCACTGCTCTAGAGGAACCAAACTGTTTTTACATATCAGGACCCTTTCTCAGCATAGATGGAGGTCCTTTTGGTGCTCTCCTACTTTATCAAGAGGAGAGAGAAGCTATTTTTTGACAGGCAAATGTGTCTCCCAAGTCGAGGAAGAGGTTAGGAGTCAGGGGCAACCTGACCTTTCTTAAGCTAGTCACCAGCATATTTATGACCGCATAGAACCAATCTCTGGGCTCAGGCAAGAAGCAGTAATAGACTCATGGTCCCAGTTCCAATTCTGATATAGGTCTTGGGATCAAGAATCCCTGGCCCTTAGGTCTCCAATCTGCAGTAATAAGGTAATAGCATCTATGCCTCTGATTCTGCAGCAATACATTAAATCATGAAAGAGGACCCTAGCAAAGCATCTGGAATGGTGTGGGGGCATTTCTAGTCACCCTGCCATTGGGGCCTCCCTGAGATCTGGGTAGCCTGGGTTTGGGGCAAAGTCTGGCTGAGATGAAATGTCTCAAACACAGGGTCCTTTTAGCTGCTGTCAGAGAAAGAGCTCCAAATTTTAGCTCTAGACAAAGAAGAATTCCTGTTTTTGAAAATGTCTCCTGCCTGCCATCTGCCCTGGGAATAGACTCTTATCTTCCTTGCCAAGGTGACCCTCTCCTAGGTTTTTCCTTCCAGATACGAATGTCTGATGCACTCACCTGACTTCGAGCTAAGCACAAAGTTGGAGGTGTACACACATCTCCCTACTTGCAAGCTGACTGACCATCTAACATGTATCACAAAGTGATTGGTGGCCTGGGCTAAAAGTCAGCCACCACCACGGAAAGCCTGGCACCTGGTTCTCCATAACAAAAGGGAAGTCACTTTACCCACCCAGAGGAAAGTAGCACCACAGCTGAGCCTTGGAAAAGGAGACCAGGTCCTGCCCCATGAGTATTAGAAGCTTGCTTGTCTAGAGTCAAGAACAAGAACAAGAATAAAAAATAATCACTGCTAGTTTGGGCTCTTAAAAACGGAAAACATTTGACTTTCCCACCTGTAACTGCACCCAGGACTGGCACAAGGGGCAGGTGCTAGGCCTCTTGGGACTCGGCACCACCCATCCCAACTGTTACAGAAAAGAGTTTCTTGTCACTCAGATGACCCCCAGGCACCTGATCACCTCCAAATTAGACCGAGTTTGGCTAAGACTCCACTCCAGGGGTTTATCATTGACTTGGTAAGAAAGCTCAGGCCATTAACCCCAGTTTAAAAAAAAAAAAAAAAAGCCTTTAGTTGCCATCTGACACCCTTGTCTGTTCCCACCCCCTGCCCTCATTCTTCCAAAGAACTAAAGAAACAAAATACCTTTATCTCCACAAGGAAATAAAAGGGTTTCTAGATGGGAAATTCCCCTAAGGAAAAGAAATAACCAAGATAAACAAGCCTATTGCCTTTGGCTCAGCTAGTGAAGGAAGTCTAGGAACCAGGAGTTAAGGACAAGCAAGAGATAATGCCCAGGCTGCCTCCTGCTTACAGCTTCCTTATCTTTATGGTCACTTGTTATTGCTAGGACCTATTATCATTGTTGTTCTCCTTTAAAAGCTCCATCAAATCCATTCCAAAGTTTAAAGCCAGGCAAAGTCCTCCAAGTCTGTTGGTAAGTGGGGACTCCTCTCTCCTTTCTTCTCTCTTTCTCTAGGCCCTAGAGTCTAGGGCACCTTTTGGTTTGGACTGTGTAGAAGTCCACTTGGGCTGCCTGCATGCTCTTTCTTTGTCTGACAGAGCTCACCAGGTAGGAAAGAAGATAACATCTATGTTGTTGTCTAATCCCAGAATGGAGTCACAGGAAACCTTGGGCATAACTGGTCATCTCCAGCTCTTAATTTTCTTGTGATTATGTGTCTGTCTATATGTCTTATTTCAAGGGTACTTATAAAACTCAAATGAATAATGTCAGGTCCAAAGGAAACTCCAGTTCCCCGAACTGCAAAAAAAGCTGTCCAAATATCAAGAAATGCGCTCAACAGGGACTGGATTTCTGGTAGTCAAATAAAAGCAGGCATCCCTCAGGGATTTTCAAAGCTGGTTCTCCTCTACCAAAAAGGAAGGGACCTCTGACAGAAGGGACAGATGGCTACCTGTGGTGCCTATCTACTAGTATATCAAAGCTTATGCTGGTCTCCAGGCTCCCTTGGTATCACAAGCCCCTGTTACACATTCCAAAGTCCATGCTGTCATCCTGCCCTTCTCACCTCCTCCCCTGCCCTAAACTCCCTCTAGCTTATAGGCTTCCCTTCCCCCAGCTACTCTTCTCCTTATAACCCTGCTATTCTTGATATATTTTAAATTTTCTCTCTTTGTGCAGTTCTCTGCTCCTGCTTCTCTCCCTTTGTTTTCTCTATTCTCTCTCCCTTGCTATTCCCTCTTACAGGCAGGATACTATCCTCTCTCATAGATAGGCCTGGTCATGTCCAGTCTCCTTTTTTCTCTTTCTGCTCTGGACTCTTCCAAATGCCTCTATCTGAAAACACCACCCCCCTTCTCACTCTCATGTCTACAATAACCTTCTTCTTAGCCAGGCAGTGGTGGCGCATGACTTTAATCCCAGCACTCGGGAGGCAGAGGCAGGTGGATCTCTGTGAGTTCGAGACCAGCCTGGTCTACAGAGCAAGTTCCAGGACAGCCAAGGCTACACAGAGAAACCCTGTCTCAAACAAATAAAAACAAAAATCGAACAAACACAAAAGAAACTTCTTCTTAATCATACCATGGAGGGGTCACTTTGTCAGTTTATACAAATAATACCGTTTTTGACAAACAAAAGGTATTCTAGCATCTAGTATAAGCATACTATCAGAGTCTTGATGCAGTGAAGAGGTTGAGAGCATAGACAAGCCAGGGCTCAGATTTCCCTCAGCTCACTCTGCCCATCTCACAGTTAACCATTGTGTGACATTTGCAAGTCTTGGTATATCTTTACAAACACCAGAATTGCTAAACTGCTTCTTCTGTCAGTTTACTAATCACCCACCTAAAACATGTCAGACTCCTCCACCTTCAGGGATATAGGGAGACACAGAAAGACAGGGCCGTGTTATAATGTGCTGCAGTGATATTTTGTTTATGACCTAACAAATAAAGCTTGCCTGAAGATCAGAGTACAAAGCTAGCCACACTCCTTGTTTCTAGGATCCCAATTAGCCACAGAGGTCAGGCAGTGGTGGTACACACCTTTAATCCCAGAAGCCACACTAGTTAGCCATAGAGGTCAGGCAGTGGTGGTACACACCTTTAATCCCAGAAGCCACACTAGTTAGCCATAGAGGTCAGGCAGTGGTGGTACACACTTTTAATCCCAGCACTTGGGAAACAGAGACAGACCCATCTCTGTTAGTTCAATCTTGCCCTACACAAAATTGATCCAGTCTAAAAGAGAAACAGTGCTCACACGAAAATGATCCCAGCACTTGAAGTGACACGCCTTTAATCCCAGCACTAAGGAGGTGGAGACAGGAAGGCCTATGGCTGTGCAGAGAGAGGAATATAAGGCGGGAGGAGACGGGAGTTCATGGTCGTCTAAGCAACTCTGAGGCAGCAGTCTGAGGATGCAGTTTGAGGTTTCGTAGAGAGAGCTTTCAGTGTGAGGATTCCTGGAGAAAGGATCGCCCGTTCGGTTTGAGGTAGAGGTAAGAGCTAATGGCTGGCAGCTTTGCTTCTCTGATCTTTCAGCTTTCCCTCTAATATCTGACTCGGGGTTTTTATTATTAAGACCAATTAGAATTTGTGCTAAGGTATGCCCAATACTGTGTTCTGGATGATGACAAAGAAATGCCATCAATATCTGATATCACTATCCCAAAGAAATATGAAGCTTAGGTAAGAAGACAAAGGTACTTGTAACTATTGAAGCACAATTAAGAACAACTATTGTTTGTCAAGACAGTCTTTGATAATTTTCATATAAACTGACAACATGGCTACTTCATGGTATGGTTAAAAGGTAGCTTTTTATTATAAATATATATATGAGAGAGAGAGAGAGAGAGAGAGAGAGAGAGAGAGAGAGAGAGAGAACACAGATGAGGGGCAAGAATCGGGAATTCTTAGCAACGAGGAAGCACCATTCATGCATTCTTTTATTAATTCAACAGGATTTACATGGTTTCTGGAGACAGGAAGCAAATAGGTATTACAGAGGAGCTTCATCTCATTTGGTTATTGTCTTTCAGCATCTCACAGAAGAGGTCAACCTGAATGGTACATCCCCCTTGGAAGCCATCAGCAATGAGGCTCTTCGTATTCACCATCCTCCTGGCTGTCCTCCCAGGTGGGTCTGTTGTCCCAACTCCCCAGATCAAACTCTTTTCTCCTAGACTCCTCATTTCTAGGATCCCAGCTCCACGGAGTCACAGACATCAGAGTCGCCCCCAGCAATGTCCCTCATAAGATGTGTATCCCTATGAGACACAGTCACCCAGAGGCAGTGCAGAAAAAAGGCATTTCTAAAAAATGGGTTTTGATGAGCTCTGGTAATCAGAGACAGGGATGAAAATTCCTGATTTTAAGACTAAGAGTCTCATAGAAGGTCCTCTCTGAAGACTTAAAAAAAAAAAAAAAAAAAAAAAAAAAAAAAAAAACTGACCTTAAACCAAACACCTTTTCTGAATTACATGATTTGGAGGAAATAAACTAAAGTAATTAATTTTCTTGGCCCTTAATGTTTTTAGTGTTAAAAAAAGAAGAAGAAAATAATCTACCAAGGGAAATTTATAGTAAATGCAAAAATGTAACATCCTCAAAAGTGGTGTTAAGATACCATTAGCTTGTCATTCATTGTCCTTAAAAAAGTTATTGCTAATGAGCTAATGCTGTGGAATTCGAGACCACCAGGAAAAGACTTACAGACTCAATTCAGATTATAATGAACCAAATTTATTCTTTCTGTAGCAGGACAGCCATCTCTAAGCCAAATCAGAAATGTGCTGCACCTGAGCAGATTCGGGAAAAGGGGTTTTTATATATTTTTTTATTTAAATTAGAAACAATCTTATTTTATATATCAATCCAAGTTCCCTCTCCCTCTCATTCTCCCATGACCCCCACCGACCCCCATCCCATCCCTCTTCTGCTCCATAGAAAGGGTGAGGCCTGGGGAAAAAGGGTTTTAAAGGCAAACACCTCAATTACTCAACTTCTGTGGAATTGACAAATACCAAAGAATTGCTCCCCTCTCCTAGACATGAGGAACTGTTTCACTCCCCCCACCAACAGTTACAGGAGAAAGAAACCAACATTCCCCCTGCCCACAGTGATAAGCGTGTTTACAGAAGCCAGAACAAGCTGTTAACAATTTCACAACAGTTACACAATTTAGGGGAGGGGACAAGGGGTCAGAGCTTTTAGGAATTTAGGTCAGAGGACAACAGCTACAAAAGTGGATACCTGGTACAAAATGGAATTTTCTTAGCAACCAGAAGCTTTAGATCATATGAATCAAACCATTGATTTCTGCAGTACTATTTTTTTTAAACGGAGAGTTCATTTTCTTTTAATGTCCATTGTCAACTGATACAAAATTCAAAGGCTGATCATAATGACAAGGAGTGGTAAAAGATAGGTCTAACTAAGGCGGTCAAAGGGTGGTAAGCTATGGGAAGAGAAAATGGACACAAACCAGTTAGAGGCTTTATCACACTCTGCTCTTGCACTTAAGCTTTTCTGGCCCATGTTTAATGTTTCTCAGATAACTCCCTGGTTGCCGGCATAAAACAGCATTTTCCACATCAGACGGCATAAATCTCATCCCCGACGGTTTTGTAAAAACCATTTCTGCTTTTCAGAATAAGCAAGAATATACTTGCTTTTCAAGTTGTCCTATAGAATCGTTGAGGTGTTGCATGTCGTGGTCTACTCTGCTATTTAGAGTTTTGAAAGTCTGATCTTGAGTAATGAAAGCTGGTCTTTCCCCAGGCAGCCACATCTGTGATCCTTGCTGTCACTAGGAGGGGTATAACTATAGCCTAATTACTATTCTTTTTTTTCTAACTAGGCCCTCATAGTGAGAGCATCCTTTAAATACAGGCAACTGATGTCTACTATCCTCTCTAGTATACATATCTACTTGGGGAAGGGTATAGGTTAGAATACAGCGATTCCATTCCCATGTTCTGAATTCTAGATGCTCCCCCACTACACATCTAGCGAGGCCAAATGTGCAGGCCTACCATGTTCCTAAAGGAGCCGGAAAGTACATGCTAATATATTCAGACTTATTGGTGTACACATGAGTACTACAGGATTGGCTGTAAAGTGAAGCTGAGTGATTAAACAAGTTGAAGAGATTAAACAAGTACCTGTTCCTTGGAGGTCTCCTAGAGTGCACTTTCTTTCCCCTGGTTCACAATTTAAATTCTCGGATGGGCTGGTAGTTGGGATGATAGAGAGACTGACTCCTATCCCCACATAAAAAGGAGGCCCAGAGTCGAAGCAAAGCCCATATTCATTTCCCAGGTCAGGGAGGGTATGGTTTAGTTAAGCTGTGTAGTAACATTAAGGTCTCAAGCTCAGGAACATCATCAGGAGATGAATTATGTTGTGTCTTTTTGAATTAGGGCTTAGGGTGAGTCTATTACCATATACCGCTTGGTTGAGACTGAAGGTTGATTTACCACCATGGGTGGAGTGGTCAGAGTAGGGAGGATAGGAAGGGGACATATCCTAGTCTTTGGTTAAGGCATCCGACTTTTACCTAGGCCTGTGGGGCTAAATGGGCAGCGGGTGGTAGTGGGGAGCTAACCCTAACCCTAACCCCAGTCCTAACCCTTTCTTATATAGAGAACTCCACAGCCCATTTAAAACTGAAACTCTTGATGTCCAGCTGGAAAAGCCAGAACTGGCTTTTAAGCCAGGGCTGTGCGCTCAGTTAGTTCCAGGTGAGGACCCTTAGAGCAGAAGTGCTTCATTTCCTACAGGTGCACCCTCGGGGAGAGAGTTCTCACTCTAAAAGGAGGTATGATCTAGGTGCCCAGTATCCCTTTCTCAGACAAACTCAGCCTCACTGTTTGGGTCAGAACAATGATAATCTCCTTGTTGCTGATGTTGATATATTGGCCCCTCAGCTGGGCATACATGAAAAAGGGTTACATTTAGTATATTTTTATCACATCCTGGGAATGACCATGACATCCCCTTCAATATACTGCATCTTAGAAGTGAGCAATCCCAATCTTTTTCTTCAGCCTGGAGTAGAGAATCCTTGAAGAGGGTAAGGCCAAACCTAAACACAGGCTGGGAGGCAACATTTTGTAGAACACGTATTATTTTTCTATTATTTGGCCATGGATATAAGATGCATGGTTCCCATGACAACTCCAGTCCCAAACCTTAAGATTTTCAGTGGCTCAAGCATAAAGATACCTGTTAAGATTCACAACATTAGCATCAGTCTGAGTCCAAGATGCTGATGAACCACACCATTGCTCTCCATTTTCACCTTTGTTTTGGCCAGACATGTCCGCTTTAAGAGGGGAGTGGCAGGTCCAAGCCTCAGTGCCCACTACCTTGATGACCGTGGATGTTGTCAGGATCACTGGGTACAGCCCCTTTCAGGAAAGTTCCAAGGTTCTGTTAGGTAGGCAATGGACCCACACCAAGTCCCCAGGTTGCAATCTGTGCTTCTGTTCAGTCAAAAGCAGCGTCCGCAGTGAGGGTGATAAAAGACTCAGATGTCTCAGGTGGTCTGCTGTGATGCCTGATAGGATTTAAGGGAGGAATTGTGAGACATTTCAATAGTCTGTGGCCTTCCCTTTGCAGGAGTAAGTGGAGGCTGCCACCAAACATTATTTCAAACTTGTCCTGGTAGAGGGTGCACCAGATCCTAAAAAGAACAGTAGGCAGCACCTCTAACCACTCCTTGCCAGTTTCTGCCCAGAATTAAATTGGTATCTCTTTAATAGTCCTGTTAACTCTTTCTACCTGTCCTGAACTCTGAGAACTTTAGGTGCAACATAATTTCCAATGTATTCCTAGTGTTTTAGCTGCTTGCAGAGAGACTTTGGCCATGAAGTCAACCCAAAGAAGAGAGGAGGCCAAATGTAGGGATAATCTCCATCAGCAACTTTTCTAGTAACTATGTTCTCTGTTTATGACCTTGCAAGAAAACCTCTACCTGACAAAGCATCTATGAAAGCTAGCAAACTTAGGTAACCAAACCTTGTTGGAGTAACTTCAGCACAGTCCAATTCCCAGTGTTCTCTGGGATTAAGCCCCTTCCTTGAACACCCATAAGTATGAGTTTTCTTCCTCTTGGGTTCACCTGGCAGATGGCATAGTGGCAAGTAATTTACTCAACTCTTTCATCTGGGTGGCATAGAAAGTACCTGTTCCTGGTTAATTCTTTTAATTTGGTCGATCTCAGGTCACTCTGATGGATTTGTGAGAGAAGGGATGGACGCCAAGGCTTCTGGTAGGATAGGGCATCTGTCTGGAAGCATCCACCAGACCTCTGTCTCAGTGGCACCCTACAATCTGGCTCAATTTTCTTCCTTACAGGTGTATGTATGTGGAGGGCCAAATGTTTACAGTGGCCCCCTGGCTCTGTGGCTGCTCTTCTTGCTGTGACATCAACAAATCTGCTTCCTTGGGTTTCTAACCAATTCCCTTTGTGGTATTCCAGACAATGGGTAACAGCAAGCTTCTCTGACAACCAAAAAGCTTCCAGGAGAGCAGAGATTTTCTCCTTGTTCTTGATCTTCTTTTTTGCAGTGGTCAGCAGGCCCTGTTCTTGTTACCAGGTACCAGGGACATGTGCAATGGCAAAGGCATAATGGCTATTGGCACAGATGTTGACAGATCAGCTATTTCCCCATCTTAGTGCCTGCGTCAAGGCTATTGGTTCTGCCTTTGGGGCTGATGTCCTTTGAGGCAGAGATTGTGCCCAGATTACCTTTGTGAATGAATAGTCACTCCTGCATACCCAAACCTGTCTTGTACGTAACTGCTTCCATTGGTGAATAAGGTCACATCTGTCTTCCCAAGAGGCTGGTGTCTGTGGTCCAGTTGTCTAGATTGAAGGTGGTCAGTGACCTGGGTACAGGCATGAACTGGTTGTTCCATGGTTAGTTTATCAATCTCCTTTAACAATAGTGCTGGGGCATCAGTGGCCCAGATGCAAGCTGCCCATCCTGCTACAACAGGGTCTAGGCATTCAGACAAACAGTCCTAGGGTCCTTTTACCACCCCATGTTGTTCATCCACAAGTGGAAGGGGCTATCAGTGTCAGGTGCTGGAGAGCTAGGGCTGACATCAAGTCTTCCTTGAGCCTTTGGTGTGCCTCCTTTTCTTTGCCCTCCCAGCTCACAGGGCCATTTCTTCCCAGGCTCTAATATAACAGTTCTGCTATGTCTACAACATTGGGTATCCACAGTCTGCAATATCCAACTGTACCCAAGAATTCCCTCACCTGCCTTTTATCTTGTGACTCAGGAATATTCAGAAGAGCTTGGCTCCTGCTTGAGGACGGGGTCCTCCTGTTGCCACCCCCAAAGCAATAACTTACCCAGATAAGTTACCTTATGGGAACACAATCAGCCTTTTTTTTAGCAGACACATAGTAGCTTAGCAGCTGAAGCATTTCAAATAGTTCCTCTGGGGCTTTTTGTCACTCCTCCAGGTTATATGCATGGATGAGATCATCCACATACCACAAGAGGGTGACATTCAGGTGCCCTTAGAGGTATTCAAGCAGGTCCACACTATGAGCTTCATCAAAGAATCAGAACAGAGAGTTTAAGAAGAGGGAGTTCATAAACCCATGTGGATAGTCCAGTACAGATCAATTGGCTTAATCCTGACTCAGGGTCTCTGCATTCAACGGCAAATATAGGTTGGCTCACAGGTGCCAGAAGCAGAGAGAAAAAGGCATCCTTCAAGTCTAAGACAATATGTACAGTTTATCCTTGAGCCAATAGACTGAGCAAAGTGTAAGGATTTGGTACTCTCTGGGGATGATTTCCACTCTCTTATTTACTCCCTTTAAGATCTAAATAGGATGATAGTCTTTAGTGCCTGCCTTAACAACAGGGAGCAGAGGAGTGCTCCAAGGTGAGTGGCAGGGAAATACCTGCATCTCTAAGGCAACTGATATGCTTTCTAATGCCTGCCTTAGCTTCTCTCAAAATAGGGTATATGCTGTTTTTCCCATTCTAGGCTAGGCTTGAGAGCTGAGCGACAACTGGTAGCCTGTGAGAGGCCAACCCAGGGCAGTAAGTTTCTAGGGAATATTCTAGGGAATATTAGCATTAATTCCATTAGGAGAATGTCACCTGTTCCCAGTTCCTCATTACTCTTTTCTGTCATTTTATATTCTTTTGATAATGAACAAGTCACCAGGATTGCTGGGCATGGACTCCTGAGGTCCATCCAGGGTGGCTTTATTCTCATTGAACATGATGGTGGTACCAACTTTGCTCAACCAATCAGGAGATGGAAAAATATGGTTTAGTAAGAAAAGAATGAGTCACAGTACCTTGTCCAAGGTCCAAATGTAGTTTCCAGTCCCTGTGGCCTCTTGGATGGTGGTTCTTTCTTAGTGGGGGTAGGGGGTAGGGGTTGGGTTAGCACTGAACATGCTGTACCCATATGCACTAGGAACTGAAGTTCTCTTCCCCCTACTTTTCCTGTGACCATGAGCTCCTGGCCCCATCAATCCAATTCTGTCATATTGAGGATTCCCCCCTCCTTCTTGCCTACAATTAGGACATTTATTTTTTTCCAATATCTATTGCGTGGGAATCAAGGTTCACTAGACTCAGTACAGGTTAAGTGAAGTTTATTCGGGGAGAATATAGTTACACAAGAAGTGGGTGATGCTGAAAGTTCCAGTTCCAAGGATTCACCCAGGTTGCCCTCTGTGACCTGACTAGAAACAAGAGAGAGAGCCACCTGTCCCGACCCCAGACCTAAATCTACCCCATCATGTCTGCACCTTTTGCATGGTCAGCGCTACAGGTGCTGGCAGGATGGATTTCTCACAACAAATATCCTTTCTCTCTACAATTATGCGTGTTGGTCCTTCTCCAACATGGATGGAAGCTGATCTGGCTGCCCGGGATACTTGTGGTTTTTATCGGTCTCTTTGAACATGGTCATATTATTATCTAGCCAGTCTTTCTTCTCATCTGGATCTCTAGTGTTAAGTTTTCTGAGCTATTCCTAACAGCCATGACCTATTCCCTCAAACCCTTTTAATTTTTGTAACTTCCTGCAAATATTTGGGGATGGCTGGTGACAAAGGCAATATTACTAACCTGCTAGTTTTCTGGGGCATCTAGATCTATGGAGGTAAATTCCCAATAAGCCTTCCATAGGTGCTCCAGGAATCCAGCATGAGATTCATGATTTCCTTGAATTACCTCAGGTACTTTTAAGAGATTAGTTGGACTGATGCTCCCATTCCAGACACTAAAGCCTGTCAATAGGTGTCTAGTGCTGCCTTAACCTTGGTCAGTGTTGGGATCCCAGTTTGGTAAAGCTAAGGGCAATATTCACTCAACCCTTTCTTCTGAGTTTACCATGGTTACCCTGAACCCATCACAGCCTTCCTGGCTACAGTCATGATTATATCCCCCTCCTAAGCAGTAAAAAGGGTACCTAGAAGCTGCCCACAATCAGCCCAGATGGGTTGAAAGGTAAAGAAAATAGCACCCAACAGGCTGATGAGGGCCAGAGGCATCTCAGGGAAGAGAGCGTTCTAAATCCTCCAGTTATACAGGCGACTGGCCAAGAGAAGGTGGTCTGGGTTTCTCATCCCCATAAGCTTTTTGTGCTGGTGGGGGTGGGAAGAGAGACAACAGCTGGGGTGGAGCATAATCTAGCCTACTCCAAGTCTGTGAAGGTAAGGGCCGGTCAGGATAAATTATTGGGACATCCCATTCATATCCCCTCTCATGACTGGACTGGCTGGATGCATGGGCTATCAAGTGGGGAAAATCCTCCTCCGTCACACAGGCCAGTACAGAGAGTCCAGACATTTTACTTAGTTTCCTATTTAGACTTTGATTTATCACTTGGTAACTAAAATAGAGGAACCTTGTTTAAGGGCACAACATTCCAGCCATGTACGGGGCTTGATGAGAAGGGAGAACCAGCAATCAATATAAGGGATCTGGTCTGGGTGGTTAGGGTTCCCTGTGACCACTTCACAGACTCTCTTGGAAATTTGTGGGTTCAAGGACCCTGTATCTGGCCATCCCACAGAAAAAGAGGAACATTCTAGTTCAGAGAGAGTGCAGAGCTTTCAAGGTGGCATCTTAACTCCATATCCGCCTCATGGAACTCCGGGAAATATTGCATGCAGCTCAAGGGAGACTGGGCTGGGCTCTGTCAACATCTCTCTTCTTCAAGAAAACTTATAAGCATACCAGAAAGCACAAATCCACTAAATGCAAACAACATAGAAAGACAAAACATTTACATAGCCAGAGGAGGTAGATACACATGTACAGCGACCACCTTCGCTCATATACCAAAAGCCACAGGGGTACAGGAGGATAGATAGATAGATAGATAGATAGATAGATAGATAGATAGATAGATAGATAGATCTCTTCTATCCCTGGAGATTGAGTCTACAATCACATTAAATCTCCCCCCTCCAAGTCTCCCCAGGTGTCAGTACTTCCTAAAACAGCTCACTGATTGGAATTGTCTTGAGTTCGAATTAGCGACTCAATTTGCAATTATCAAACAATTTGCAATTGTTTCAATTTGCAAATTTGCAGTTGTCACAGTCTGGGACACCCCAAGTCCACAAAAATACTTTCCCCCATCTAGGATTGTTTGACGCCGGGCCTCTCAGTTGTAGTATTTGTCCCCAACTAGGGCCAGACTCTGATTAATGTCTCTTTAATTTGTGATAGCCATGGTTTCTGACGCCCCTGAGTCTCCAGACTTGCCTCAGACTTGCCCCTACTTGGGGCCTATCCTGGATCCCTAGCCCCAAGAATGGGGGTCCCCCAGGATCTCGCTGGGGCCTCCAAGAATGTTGTGGAGTTTGAGACCCCTGGGTAAAGGTCACAGACTCATTTACAGATGTAATTATGCTAACAGGGAATGTATCTCTAAGCCAAATCAGAAATGTGCCACACCTGAACAGATGGGGGAAAGGATTTTAAAGGTAAACATCACAATTACTCCACTTCTGCAGAATTTATAGCTACAGGAGAAACTGCTATTCCCCCTGCCCACAGAGATAAGTATGTTTGCAGAAGCCAGAACAAACTGTTAATCATTTCATAACAGTTGCACAATTTAGAGGAGGGAACAAGAGGTCAGAGCTTTTAGGAATTTAGATCAGAGGGCAACTGCTACCAAAGTAGATGCCTGGTACAAAATGGAGCTTATTTACCTATCATACTACAATTAAAATGGAACCAAATTATGATTAATCGACCATTTTACTTCATACAATGTTGTGTGACTATAGTATCATGTAAATAACTAGGGAATGCATATTAATTAGAAAATCATATTCCTTCGGATGAGCTATGTGGATCATTTCATTCCACTTGACCTCCCTTAGTTCTTAAAACTCTTGTCTTCTGTTCCCACAGCGGTCTCCACAAAAAGCCCCATATTTGGTCCCCAAGATGTGAGTGGTGTGGTAGGTAACTCGGTGTCTGTCACGTGCTACTATCCAGCCACCTCTGTCAACCGACACAGCAGGAAGTACTGGTGCCGGCAAGGACCCGGCAGCCTCTGCACAACCCTCGTCTCTTCAAATGGCTACATCTCCAAGGAGTATGCAGGCAGAGCCAACATCATCAACTTCCCAGAGAATAACACATTTACGATTAACATTGCACAGCTCACCCAGAATGACACTGGGAGCTACAAGTGTGGTCTCGGCACCAGTAACCGAGGCCTGTACTTTGAAGTCAGCATGGAGGTCAGCCAAGGTAAGAATCCAGGCTCCCTGGGCTTCTGGGAGTGAGAGGTGGGATAGTTTAAATCAATTTCAGTTACAATGAGAGTTTGCCTGAGGAAGATACCTTCTACAGAAGGTATTAATCCTGACATTAAGTCTAAAGTCTCCTCCCTCCTGAGGCAAGGGCTTTTCATAATAGAACATCAATACATATGAGGCAAATGTCTTCTGGATCTCTAACAAGCATCTTGGGCTTAAATGGGTGCCAAGAGGATAGCTTTTGTTGTATTTGACAGAGTTGAGACATGATGTCTGTCAGGTCCCAAGGAAAAGCCTTTTCCTCAAATTCTGGAGGACAGACAAAAGCCATCATTCCTCAGGAACTTGTGAAGCTGGTTCCCTTCCACTAAAGGAGCCATTTCCCTTACCACTGACAGAAGGACAAATGACTAAATTTGAGGTGTTTGTTAGCATACCAAAGCAAATTCTGGCCCCCAGGCTTCCTCAGTATCACGAGCACCTGTTAGACATTTCAAAGCCCATGCTGCCACCCTTCCCGCAGCTCCTCATTTCTCCTCAAGCTCTGCTATTTGGACTATGCGCCCTCCTTTTGGCCCATACTTTCTTTGTTCCCTTCACCCCCTACCATGGTCCCACTTCTCTTCTAGTCTGCTGACTATGTTCAGTCTTCTTCATTCTCTCCATGCTCTGGACACTTCCTGATGCCTGTCTGTACTCTCCCTCATATCTACAATTAAAACTTTCTGCTTAACCTTACCTTGAAGCAGCCATGTCATCAGTGTCTGGAACATCTATAGCACCCAATGACGTAGAAAAATACACCAAGAGAGTTTTAAGAATCCTGACATTCCTACCACAATGTCCCTTTGTATCAAGGCTTCAGGCCATAGAAGACTTCATCATAAATAGATTTTAGTGGGATCTGTTAGTCCATTAGAACTATCAGCATGAATTAGATTCTTTTTAACTGAAGTCTGGGCCCCTAAAGAGGTTGGCCACTAAACAAACCCACTGTACTTGAAAGAAGAGAGGGAGAAAAAGGTTTTCTGTCAAGAGTTCACTGGTGAGGGCACCTCTGATTGTCCAAGGAAACTTAAAAGAGAAAGCACAAGGGAAGAAATTCACATGGGCTCTGAGACTATGCATTGCTCTTTGGCATGTGTGTACCATAGGAAAGTCGTTCCTATGCCCATGGAGAGTCATAACACTACAGATTCCCTAAGAGAAGAGGAGTATTCTTGATACCTAGAAGAGTAGTGCAGATGCTGGGGAAACAGGATCCAATTAAACACACCCAATAAAAGACTCTACTTCTTAAGGCAGCCCAGAATATTTGGAATATTATTTTTAGGCAATTCATGTTCAATTCTGTTTGTTTCTACACATGCTAATTTAGCACCTACCAAAAAGAGATATTGTGTCAGTCACAGCAGAGAGGGAAAAGGTGAAGAAAATGTCTCCACCCTCCAGTCTATAGAGGTAGAGCCTAGACTGGATACAAGGAGTGATGAGGAGGTTCAGGAGGACACAAAGAAGGGAGAAACTAGTGCAAGCCTAGGGAAACCCTTCCTGAGGAGATGGAAGTCAGGCTGGGCCCTGGAAGAAGAGCTGGATGGGTGATTGCTGACTTCACTCATAAAAGTCATAGCCAATACCTCCACGACAAAAGACAGGGTAACAAGAAAACACATAGCTTCATTTAACCAAGTTGATTTTTAAATTTTATTTATTTATTTTATGTGTATGAGTGTTTTGTCTGCCTATACTTCTATGCACCAAATGTGTTCCTGGTGCCCTCAGAGGCCAGAAGAGGTGTCAGATTTCATGGGACTGGAGTTGCAGGTGGTTGGAGCCACTATGTGGGTGCCAGGAATTGAACCCTGGTCCTCCGGGAAAGCAGTCAGGGTTCTTAACTGCTGACCCATCTCTCCATCCCCCATTTATTGAAGTTTTACTATCACAGGAACCTTCACAATGACCATGCAAAGATCTGGTTCCTATGCAACATAGGGTTCCAGGAAGCAGGGGTGGCTTTACAGAGATGAGACAAAGCAGGTATGCGCTAGCAGCAGAAGACTGAGTAGAAATCCCAGCAAGGCTCCAACTGCTCCCGTTCTCTTGCCCCTCAGCTGTAGTGCTTCTTTTGGGGTGTGAGGCAGTGAAGACCTTGATATGTAGAGTGGTATGTCAGGAGTTTCTTTCTGCCCTATTGTTACAAAGAAAAATGGGAAGGTTGAAGTACGATTTTTAGGGTTTGTAGATAGCTAGGATAAAGAGGTTATGGTTTCTACATGATCTGCCTTGGAGAAGAGAAATTCCGGTTCCTAAGGCTTGCCTTTGGGAGTAATGGCATGAAAAACAAAAGGGTGGGAGAAAGCCAAAATAAAACCTTTGCTTTGGGAGCCTTTGTTTTGGTATATCATTGTGTAAGTTCCAACAGAAAAATTCTGACAGTGTTCCTTTAGGGAGGAGGCCATTCTAGGTCAGTGGCCCACCCAGAACCCTCGCTAGGAATAGCAAATGGCTCTATGTTACAAACAAAAATTGCAATTTACTCCTGTTCTTCACTCCTCAGCTCCTGAGTTCCCAGTTGACACTCATGTCTACACAAAGGATCTAGGCAGAAGCGTGACCATTGCCTGCCCTTTCAAAAAGGAGAATGCTCATAGCAAGAAATCCTTGTGTAAGAAGATAGGTCAGACCTGTGAACTTGTCATTGACTCTACTGAATACGTGAACCCCAAGTACAAGGACAGAGCAATTCTTTTTATGAAAGGGACCAGCCAAGAACTATTCAATGTCAACATTACTCACCTAAGACACAGTGATGCTGGGCTGTATGTTTGCCAGGCTGGGGAAGGTTCTAGTGCTGATAGAAACAATGCTGACCTCCAGGTACTAGACCCTAAGCCAGAGCTGGTTTATAGAGATCTGAGAGCCTCAGTGGCTTTTGACTGTGATTTGGGCCGTGAGGTGGCAGATGTAGCCAAATATCTGTGCCGGATGAACAAGGAAACTTGCGATGTGGTCATCAACACCCTGGGGAGGAGGGATCCAGCCTTTGAAGGCAGGATCCTGCTAACCCACAAGGATGACAATGGCCGTTTCAGTGTGCTGATCACAGGCTTGAAGAAGGAAGATGCAGGGCAGTACCTTTGTGGAGCCCACAGTTCTGGTCTGCCTCAAGAAGGTTGGCCCATGCAAGCTTGGCAACTCTTTGTAAATGAAGGTAAGACCTTCCAAAAGGCAAGCAAGATGGGATGGCATGGATGGCAGATGAGACACTGGCTTAACTCTCTGATACATTCATCAATGTTCATGTCAGTCAGCGGTATCTACTCTCTGGAAAGTCTTGAACTAAGTGGAAAACAGTTTATGAGATCTAGAAAATGCAGCCTCTCCTAAATGCTAGTTCCCAATAATTCTTCCCAATTATTATCAAGGGCCTGGTGGTAGTTATCCCTGGGTAACAAGAATAAGGAAAGTAAAGCCTCTGCTGGAGGCATGACTAGCAGATGAGAGTCAGTACCATGGTAGGCTCACATCCTCTTCCCATCCAACTCCAAAGAAGTTGTACAACCCTCACACTCAGATGGGAGAACATTGGCGTACCATGACCTTAAAGCTTCCAGGAAAGGCAATACCCCAGCACCTAAATGTTCCACTCACTCAGCTCTAAGGGTTGTTTGTTATTTGGAACAACCTCCATGAGCTATCAACAAGGCAGAACAATTCACCCCATGCTCCCTTTCACCCTGGAGCACAGTGCACACACTCACCCTCATGAGAAGCAGCAAGCCAGTTCTTGAAGTTCAAAGTACCTGCCCTTATGGTTTTTCTTTAAGGGGACTATGTTCCTGACACCATTCTCCTATTGCTAACTCTGGGTCTTCATCAGCATCCCTGACATCATCATTAGCCATGGGGTCCCTGGACCTCTGCGTTAGCTTTTGTTTTCTTGAAGATGACTCTTGGGGTCTTTACTGAAATCACACCTCATTGTTTTAGTTTCTATTGTAAAGTATACCTATTCCAAATATATTTTTCTTAAATTAGGTACAATACATTAAGCCATTTTGTAAGATATGCTAAGGAACAGATTAAAAGGGTTATACAGAGGGAGACTTTATAAGAAGCCAAAATAGAGGAGCTAATATTCTCTCTTAAATGCCATTCATTCCCAGCTGAGAATGAAGAGAGCAATGAGATATCCACACTGAAGTCATTGGAGACTGGCCCCCAGACTATAGCTACAGACTCAGACATGAATACAATATATTTCATTTTCTGAGGAGGGAGGCAGTGATTTGTCTTAACTTTCCTCTCTCCACGGTGGATGTCCTGGGAAGAAAAGTTGCCTGGGGTATGCAAGGCTGTTTTGGCATTTCTGTCCTTTCATACCATCTCCATCTGTCCTTCCAGAGTCTACCATGCCCCCTAGTCGCTCCGTGGTAAAGGGTATCACAGGAGGCTCTGTGGCTATAGTCTGTCCCTACAACCCCAAGGAAAGCAGCAGCCTCAAGTACTGGTGTCGCTGGGAAGCAGACGGAAACGGACACTGCCCGGTGCTTGTGGAGAGCCAGGGGGTGGTGGATGAACAGTATGAAGGCCGACTGGCACTGTTCGATCAGCCAGGCAATGGCAGCTACACTGTCATCCTCAACCAGCTCACCACCCAGGATGCCGGCTCCTACTGGTGTCTGACCAATGGTGACTCTCGCTGGAGAAGCACTGTAGAGCTCCAGGTTGCTGAAGGTGAGAGTTGACATGGAGCAGGTGGGAAGGGGTAGGCTGAAGATTATTCCAACAGCAGCAGCCTCATCTATTCCCTACACATCTTTCCTGCTATGCCACCTCCAGCCATGCTGGTGTCAGAAGGAGCTACTTGTCCAGAGGTCACATTTCCACACCCATGACCAGCACCCCAATGTTCTTTCAGTCATCACTTGCAACACTTCCTGATACCGAATATTAGCCTCCTTTGTTGCAGACAGATGCCCCCTGGAGTAGAATATTGAACATGCTCTTTGTGCTAAGCCTAGAAAAGATAAATAAGTAAAGAAAAGTAAGGGGCCAGGTGTGGTGATACACGCCTTTAATCCCAGCACTCAGGAGGCAGAGGCAGAGGCTGGCGATTCTCTGTGAGTTCAAGACCAGCCTGGTTTATGAATCGAGTTCCAGGACAGCTAGGGAGAGAAACCCTGTCTCAAAACAAACAAACAAACAAACAAACAAACAAAAGAGGCAAGAAAGAAAAGGGAGTAAAGAAGGCCATCGAGCAAGGCTGTATGTACTATGCCAAACTCTGGGCTGATACAGTGGTCATCAATAGTTATTCTATTAGCATATCCTCTGCTTCTTATGTATTCAGAACAGTGTATTACAATGCTATCTTCAGAGGAAATGCACACGACACACCAAAACCACCACTTTTTTTCCCCCGTAGCATCTCCAAGTCTCAATTTCTGTGTTTCTTTGCTACTTACAGGAAAGCCAAACCTTGAGGTGACACCACAGAATGCGATTGCTGTTCTCGGAGAGACCCTCACACTCTCCTGCCACTATCCATGCAAATACTACTCCCATGAGAAATATTGGTGCAAGTGGAGCAACAAGGGCTGCCACATCCTGCCTAGCCATAATGAAGCAGCCCGCCAGTCCTCTGTGAGCTGTGACCAGGACAATCAGGTCATCTCGATGACCCTGAACCCAGTCTCAAAGAACGATGAAGGCTGGTACTGGTGTGGGGTGAGGAAAGGCCAGGACTATGGAGAAACTACAGCCATCTATGTAGCAGTTGAAGAGAGGACAGGTGGTAAGTCTCCAAGGGTAGTCAGTGCCTGCACCCCACAGCACCCATGGCAGGGCTGATCAATGGCCCCACCTTGAAGCTTCTCCATTAGGAATAACTGTCAGGGTTTCCTATGAGAGGAAAGGAGTAGGGAAGCAAATAGTAGGAGCTTTTCTGTTTAATCTGAGTAATAAGACAAGTCTCACAGGTGCCTCTCACATCAGAGTGAAGCTCCCTCTCTATCCAGAAATCCTGCCTAACAATTTCAGAGTCACACTCACATCAGCACACTGATCAGCCTCCAACTGTCTAAGACTGCTCTCCAAAGATGGTCAGGTACCTACGTCTTGACCAAGAACACTAAGGCACAGGACTGAGGGTGTAGCTTGGATTAGAACATGTGCTTATGGTGCACAATGCCCTGGTTTCAATTCTTGACACCAAAAGAGTAAAGGGGGAGAAACAATTAAGACAAGCTCATCCAATAAGTTTGTATCCCCAGCCTCTGCTTAAAATGTCATATAAGTTAGGTGGTAGTTAGTGGTCCATGCCTTTAATCCCAGCACTTGGGAGAGAGAGTCAGCCAGATCCCTGTCAGTTTGAGGACAGCCTGGTCTACAGAGTTAATTCCAGGACAGTCAAAGCTATTACACAGAGAAAATCCTGTCTTGGAAAGCACACACACACACACACACACACACACACACACACAGAGAAAGAAAAAGTCATATAAGATATCCTGTATGATAAGGGCTTCTTAGCCCCTAGATATCTCCGGAAGTCTGAGTCCAGCAACACTGGCTCACTAGAAGCCATTGCTATGCTGCTGCCTGGAGGCAGCCCTAGGACAGGATTTGAAGCTGTGAAAAATCAATCTCTCTGTCAGCCTGTTGTCGCAGGTGAATCTGTTACATAGATCCTTGATAATGGAAATGAACTTGGTAAGAATAGGGTAGAGAACTGGAGAGAGGAAATCACGGTGAGGGGGCAGTAAGAGTAGAAAATAACGTCTGGGGTCTAGAGAAAGTCTTCGCTACCGAGTCTAGTGCTAGTCCAGAGTGCACCCCAGTAGCTCTGAGGTCTCACCCTGTGATTTGTCCCTAACCCACAGGCATAAGAACACAGAGGAAAAACCATAACAGGCTTTGCTTTGCTGTGCTTCAGGGTCACGCCAAGTCAGCCCAGTGGATGCAAACGCACCTGCAAATGTTGCTCCACAAGAAGAGGTAGTTGACTCCGGTGTCAGTGACAATGAGAACAAAGCCATTCCAAACCCCAGCCTTCTTGAAGAGGAAGGAGAGATAAACAGTGTGGGAGACCAAGCTCAGGAGAACAGAGCTGCTGTGGATGCTGGCAGGTGAGCAGATTCTCCACTCGGAGAACATTCCAGAGGCCAAGCCCCAAGTCTGGGCCACTAGAACCAAGTAACAGAGTGTGAAAAAGACTAGTAGACAGTCAGCTCTCACAGCCTTGGCTTATTCTTATCAGGGGAGGGGAGGGTGCACATCCCTTCTGGAGAAGTCCATCCAGTTCAATAGCTCAAGCCTGGAATACAGAGAAGGCCAGGTCCTTGCTTTGCTGGTTCGGGGGCATGGGGTGGTTCTTAGCAAAACAGACTTAAGAACTGCATCAAAAAGATAGAGTAGATAGACTGGGGGTGGGGAACCTCTAGCTGGAACAGCCATCCAGCACATCCTGAGATCTCCCTCTCAGTGGTGGCCTGACTTAATCCTTCTTGCAGTGCTGATGAACAGAAGGGGCATTCCAAAATCCTGTTCTCCACCCTGGTGCCCCTGGGTCTGGTGCTGGCAGGGGGTGCTGTGGCTGTGTGGGTGGCAAGAGTCCGACACCGGAAGAATGTAGGTGAGTACCCAGAATGCTCCCTGCCTCACCTCCTGTTCAGCTAATTAGCCACGTGACTCAGGTATAGCCCATTTCTATGTGGCTCAAGACAGGGCAATAACCACCTTTCATGGGGCTAATTTAAGCTAGAATTGAGTGCTGTGAACCAGTAAGTCACAAATTAGCAAAGGTCCTAGAGTCTTGACTGCCCAAGAAAGGGAGTCAGACTATTTCCAGTTTGATTTGGAGGTAAGCATCATCCTTGGTGTTGCTTGGGCTGTGGCATGTGGCAGGTCTTCTCAGGGACAGCAATGCACCCTGCTCTCCTTACTCATGCCCCCCCCCCACTCCTCTGTCCAACAGACCGGATGTCAATCAGCAGCTACAGGACAGACATCAGCATGGCAGACTTCAAGAACTCTAGGGATTTGGGAGGCAATGACAACATGGGGGCCTCTCCAGACCTTCAGGAGACAGCTCTCGAAAGAAAAGATGGTATGTATTTTGAGAATGCTCAGCCCTTGGGAGACCAGAACTGGACCTGTCCCCATCTGGAAAGGAACAGAGATAGTTAGAGCTAAGGACACTCTCTCTTCCCCCGTGCAGAAATCGTGACTACCACTGAGATTGCCACAGAGCCAGAAGAATCCAAGAAGGCAAAACGGGTAAGGGAGAAGGATATCCCACTGCATAGCAGGGAATTCGGACTGCAGTTGGATATCAGGACAAAGTCACCCCCATCTGGATTAATGCCCAAACAGGGAAGACGGTACAAATACTGTATTCGAGAGGATTTTTGTGAGAAGGAGATAGATCCTTCAGTGTGAAGCCTCAGAAGGAGGGGGCTCAGTTGTAGGCTGTGAACCTGAAGATGTGGTCACAGGCGGAAAGGGAAGGTCACATGTTAACAGTGAGGATTGAGTGGGTGGTCTTCCTGAGCTATGGGGCCTCGGGGCCTTTCCATGACCACACATCCTCCTTTGAAAGCTTCCTCAGGACTCTCCTTTGGCCTGAAGCAGGGAATGTTTATTCATAGTGGGCATCTTGATCACCACCAGAAGCCTTTGACCACCTCAACCAGTATCGTGAAACCCCAGAAGAGGCAACTCCTGCCATTTGATTGCAAATTGCCCTCCTTTCTTGTCTCCCTGAGTCTCCTTATGAGGAGTATTGTGGGGTACTGACTCTTTTTTAAGTTATCTGCTCTCCCTTATCCCGTCAGAGATCCTGCATTTAGCAGAGTCAGGATGTAGAGTTAGTCCTAGAGATGAGCCCCTGCCATCTGTTCAGTGCTAAAAAAGTTACCCCTCTAGGGTGACAGAAAGAGAAAACACAGGACATCTTGGCCAACAACAACCTAAGCCACCTCACCTGTGGACAACAATAGCATAGCTTCTGGGGACAGTCCCCACCGGCAGAGGGTGTTCCACTCCACTTTGCATAAGGGGGTAGTGAGACAGTGGGAGATATTTTTAGAGGCTACAACTTTCCATTTCTCAAAATTTAGCCCTTCCTGCTGAGCATGGGGGCTGGACTGAGAGCAAGGCCTCAGAAGTGTGTGTTGCTCCAGCAGAGACGGGAAACGCAGAATTTCACATGCATGCCCTTCTTCTCGCCCATCTACTAATGCCTCTCCTATTGCTCCCCAGTCATCCAAGGAGGAAGCTGACCTGGCCTACTCAGCATTCCTGCTCCAGTCCAGCAACATAGCTGCACAGGTCCATGATGGTCCCAAGGAAGCCTAGGCAGTGCTGAGTGCCTACCCATGCCTGTGACAATCAACTGAGAATCACACTGATCCACCCACAGCCTTCACTCACTCATCTCCTAGGCTTCTCCCTCCTGTCTTCAGACTTGTGCTGGTCCTGTCCTCAGTTATCAAAGCCTGGCCTCGCCTCGTTGTGCCTGTTTGGGAAGTGTGAGGAGTTCTGACCTGCAGCTTGTCTCTGTTAAAAGATTAACTAAGGTGGAAATGAGGAGTCAAGCCTGAGAGACATTTCTGAGAGAAGAGGTTTGGAGCTAGGGCTCACCTCAGGAGGGAGAGCCATTTGAAGCCTCTTACAACATGTGATGGGATGTCAGTGCACCTCTTCTCTTCTCCATCTCTCCTTTCCTCCCTTCTCCATTCAAAAGACACATCTGAAAACTCACTAGAATTCAGGTGCCTACTAAATGTTGAGACCCAGGCCACAGCCTTTCCAATACACATCACTGAAAGAGACCCCATCTCCTCCCAGATCCTGTCTTTTTACTAAGACATGGCACCATTTACTAGGCATACCTCCTGCCTCTGAACCTTATAGGGAAACATAAGTAATCCCTGGAGTCTGAGGCATACCTAAGTCTTAAGGACACCACAGTTTTCAAATGGAAGATACTTGCTCTAGGGCATCCATGAGATAAATTAGTGTCAAACCTGATTTGGTGACTCCTAGCTGTTGGCCTGGGATCTGCCTTCAAGACCTCTGCCTTTATCAGAGGGTGAACTTTGGCCTGAGGAAGTTAAGAGGAAATGAGTAAAGTGGGCATGCTGGTGTACACGCGCCATCCCAGCATTCAAGAGGTAGAAATAGGATCACAAGTTCAAGGTCATCCTTGGCCACACAGGGAGTTTGAGGCCAGCCTGGGATACATAAAGACCTTGTTTCAAAGCAGAAAGAGGAGAAGGAGGAAGAGGAGGAAGAGGAGGAGGAGGAGGAAAAGAAGAAGAAGAAGAAGAAGAAGAAGAAGAGGATCTTTCTCTGGTGTCATCTTTCCCTTTCCTGTCACTCATGTGGACCTCAGATAAAGGAACAAATACTCTCACCCTCTGTATTTGGAGAGTTTTGAGCAGACAGGAAGAAGATGGAGCCTGGGAGCAGCTGTTCTTCTAAGAGTCAAATTAAAAGACTGTTTCTCTCTGAGCTCTGCACTTCATCCAGCATCTACAGGCTAAAACAAACAAATCAGAAATAACAATTAATAATTAAAGTCTATGATTGCTACCAAGGAGGCTCAGACCACATTTGTCCCCCACACCTTAGCTCCTACTTCAGGTGCCCCAGAAGATGTGTTCCAACCAACAAACTCAGCCCCTAGGAAGGCTGAACTGAAGAGGTTTTGAGCAATGCTCTTCTTTGTGCTCAATCAGTCATCCTCTGCTCTCCTCTTGGGCTACCAACTGCGGTACTTAGTCTTACTTCCCTGGCCCTGGCTTAGATCAGAGTCTTTGATTTCTTCCCAGGCAAAAAGAGGTAGAGAAAAAGATGAGAAATGGTGGGTCCTTCTCTGGTAATGATAGAGAGTCACTCAGAAGAGCCTATGTCACTTGTTATTAGACATTATATATCTTCATCCTCTGTACTTCCCCACTCTGCTTGCAGGGCTCTGTCTGCAACAGGAGATTGAGATTCACTGTCTCCATTAACATCAATAACCAAAAGCCCAAGCCTGGGCTTGTCACATGGCCTACCCCAATCCCTGCACTCAAAGGCCAAGAAATGTCACTAAAGCCACAGGCTTGATGGTGATAAACAGATCAGCCATGATCATCAACCATCCAGAGAATGACTTAAATATCTGATGACAAGGAAACTTCCCCTGTGTTTTAAAATTATCTTTTGAAAGGCGGTTAGATAATAACTTGACTATGCATTAACAAGGCCTACCTAGCAGTCCTGAGACATTTTCTATAGCAGTTGATTTCACTTTGTAAACTGAAACAATCGCCTCCCATTTAAGACTTTTCTAGACTCAAGGCTGAATAACTCTTCCAAGAACACTAGACATTAATTAATCAATATGAGGTTTGAAACAAACCGTTTATGCTGACAAGTATGAAGCTGGAGCCTAAGGCAAAGAAACATGCAGTGTACCCCACCCAAGCTTCCCTGAAATACTTAACTGTGCTGGGGAGCCTGTAATATAAAAATTAACAACGAAGAAAAACAATGAAGGGTTATCTCAGAAACAATACTATCTAAGTAGAAAAGGGTGTGCTAGTGAAAAACTTAAAACTGAGGCCAAAGGTGCCAAGTTGGCCATGAAGCTAAAGTAGAAATGAGGAAAAGATCACCCAGCCATATGAGCCAAGAAGTTCAAGAGAGGCTCTTCCAAGGTCGTTAGGCATAATGTCATACACCTATAATCACAGTCTTAGGAGATTGAGGTCAGAGCCCTGTGAATTCCAGGCCAACCTATACTACAAAGCAAGACTCTGTCTCAAAAATAATTATTAAGATTTCTAGGTATGGTGTCAGACAAGGCCTCTATGTGACCCAGTGAAGGAGAAGAGGCCAGATAAAAATGACTAGAACCCCTGTGAGAAAAATGCCAGAAGACTATCAGAAATACACAAAGGACAGTGGGAAAATAAAGATAGGTAACACAGAACAAAAAAAGAAATGAGCCATGGTGACATCTACAGAATCATCGTGGTGAAATAGCCAGGAGCAGCCAACTGGCACACAGTCACTCTACAGTACTCGTGCCAGGATGGAGTCAGTGGTAGCTGGTAGGGAGGCGCTGCTGCCTGCTGACACAACCGCCATGAGATTGACAAGCTAAAGAGAGACTGGCTGGACTACAGAGTTACAATCAGGAGTTAGACACACTCAGGACAAGAAGGCAGCCAAGCAATGTGGAACTGTGGGGACGGTGGTAAACGTGCTGCATGAGAGCCTTAAGCTGTGACTCCCTGCAAGTATCCAGGGGGACATAAAGGAGGCCAGCTCCTCTGCCACTGCCTTGGCAAGTGAGAAGGCAGGAATATGAGAAGCGTGCTTGACATGGCATAATCCCACTAGTGAACACAAGAATTCTTAGACAAGAGCTATCAGAGAGGAAGAAGAAAAGCAGGCATAATGGAGAAGGAAACAGTGTGCCCAGTGAACACAAGTGTGGGTGTGCCTTCCACACCCCATCACAGAAAGCCCGGCCTGCACACCAGAGATAAAGATGCAGCTGGCAGGCAAGCGGCTGAAGAAAGGAGACTTGTATGCAGTCCCCTTTCCTTTCAGTAGGGAAGACACACTGGTCTACATTGTTTAAAGCAGTTATGCCACCTGCAAAGACTGCAGTAAAAGATGACCAAGGGGGTAGGAAAAACTGTGTTCATCTCAACCAGTGAGAAATATGGAATACTGTTCTATGCTACTGCATTTTAATTTTTAATATTTGCTTTGGTACTTCAGCTGCTTAGTTTTTTGTTTTAGCGTCTGTCTCATCTACATAGGTTTTTATGGCTTTGCTTCTCTTCTTTTCTGCACCTATTCTAGAACATTTTCTCCACTATTTTTTAAATCTCTGTAACCCATACTTACCCTCTTTTTGAAACTTAACTCTGTATTTTTTCCTTTCCCATTCTTTTTACTTCTTAATTATTTATTTTCTCCTTTTATTTCTTAGTTATTAATTTGCTCAGCTCTAAAAACCTCTTAAGGATGCTTTTCCAAGCCAGTACCCGAGGGCCACTGTCTCTGAACCCTTCTGAGAACACAAGGGTAGGTAGGGCTTGTAGAAGTAGTAGTGTCCACTACTGCAAATTCACACCAGAACTGCTGCCAAAGCTTTGTATATGTTGCTGAAGCCAGTGTCCCTTCTAAATAGTTCAGGAAACATAAACACAAGCAAAAACAGCTCGCCTGATGGACTTGCAAAAAGTCAAGCAAAAAAAGAGTTGGTAATGTGGAAAAATAAAAACTAGGGCCACAATTATCCTGACAGAAATGCAAAACACAACAAAGAAACAGCAAATATACGAAAATGGCCACAAGACCACAGTTCCCCTAAACCAGAAACCAAAGGCTATGATAGATGAAATGCTGCAAAACACATTTCAGAGTCCTACTTTTTAAAGAATTAATAACTACTCAGAAGACTCACACAAGATGATGGATGAGGTGAGGGGATCAATGCAGGACCTAGAGCAGAAAGTTAATGAAGTAGATGAACAGGTGAAGAATGTGGATAAGAAATTTAAAAAAAAAAAAAACAGAGAAACTTAGCTCTGGATTCTGAGGAGCCAAATAGAAATGCTGGGATTCCAAGAGGCAATCAGCCAAATGAAAAACACAGTGGAAAGTATCAACAAACAAAACCATGCTACAAAGGAAAGATAAAAAGACTATCAAGGGATGGACAAATCAAAGATGATAGTCCGTTCAGATGTACAAAAGAAAAGTTGGTCAGCATGACCAAAACCCAGGACGTGTTCCAGAGACCAAACCCAGGCATCCTCAAGAAAGAAGAAAAAGTTGAGGCAAAATCTAAAGGTGTAGTTAGTGAAGTAATCAATGAAATTGCGGTAAGAATTTCCCCAATCCTCTAGAAAGAAATGGACATACAAACACAATAAACATTTAGAACCCCAAATAGGAAGAACATCATAGTCAAGATGTCAACCATTCAAAACAAAGAAACTGTATTAAAATTGTAAGGGGAAAAGACCAACCCACCTACAGAGACAAACACATCAGAATGACATCAGGTTTATCACCAGCAACACTAAGAGCTAGAAAGCATGGAGATATGACAAGCACTGAAAGTACACCCCTGCCAATCAAGATGGTTCCATCCAGCAAAGCCACCTCTTGAAATTCAGGAAGAAATAAGGCCATTTGCAAACTAAAGCAGTTCATGATCACTATGACGGCACTGCAGAAACCACGTAAGGCATTGGAGAGACGGCCCAGCTCTTAAGTGTGCCCTGCTCTTCCAAAGATCTAAACTCAGTACTCACCACACACAGCTAGCAGCTTACAACTGCCTATTGCTCTACGTCTAGGGCATCTGATGCCCTCTCCTAGCCTCCACAGTATGGCATATACTCTCACACAATTCACACATTGATAAATTTTTAAATCCTCAAAAAAAAAATTAAAAATAGCATACTAAAAGGAAACCCCTATTCACAAAACAAAGGAAAGAATGAATTTTATGAAATGAATAAATGAATGGAGAACTAGGAAAGAACCCATCATACCCAACACAGAAGCCAGGAAACCTCCAACATTAACATGAGACAAAGAACAATAGTCCAACCAACCAGAACAGCTAGCAAAATCACAGGCACTAACAAACATCCCTCAAAAACAACCTTTAACACAAATGACTCCAGTGCCCAATCTAAAGAGTCAGACTTTCTGAATTCATTAAAAAGAAAAATGCAACTCTCTGTTGTCTCTAAGAAACATATTCATGGTGAGATCAAAGTATCAGAGCCAACCCATAAAGCAAATGACAGCTGTAAACAAGCTTCCTCAGCTATTCTGATAGCTACTAAGGTTGGCCTCAAGCCAAACTAGTCCAGGGAAGAGATAAAGAAGTCACTATATCACTATATCAGTGGTTCTCAACTTGTGAGTCACAAATCCATTTGGGGGTCACATATCAGATATTCTGCCTGATATTTACATTACAATTCACAATAGTACCAAAATCACAGTTATGAAGTCGCAACAAAATAATTTTATGGTTGGGGGGCGGTCATCACAACATGAGAAACTGTATTAAAGGGTCACAGCATTGCCAGGCAGTGGTGGCTCACTCCTTTAATCCCAGAACCCAGGAGACAGAGGCAGGCGGATCCCTGCGAGTCCGAGGCCAGCCTGGTCTATGAAGCTACACAGAGAAACCCTGTCTTGAAAAAAAAAAAAAACAAGGTCGCAGCATTGGGAAGGTTGAGAATCACTGCTCTACATGTTAACAAAGCAAATAACCCATGAGAAGATATAAAACACAAACACATATATACATATACATGTATATATGCACATATATGTGCAAATATACATATATATATATATATATATATGCACCAGATGGTTTCATAAAACAAACACTAAAGGGTATGAAAAATCAGATAGACCTGATATAATAACAGACAGTGCTTCAATACTCTATTCTCATCTCCAGTTATATCATCCCAACTAAAAATTAACAGACAAATTTCATAGCTAAAGTATACTATAGATGAACTGCATTTAACACATAACTATAAAATTCCCATCTAACAGTGAGATTGGATTTCTGGTCTCTTCATGGTGTTGGAGACTTAACCCCCTGACTTTGTGCATTCCAGGGAATCACTCTACTATTGAGCTATAGCTTCAACCAATTGCCACTATTGATTGGTTGACTGACTTATACATCACTACAGAAAGGACAATGAGTCATGGGGAGGACTGACTGAAGTGAAGGCCCTCCATTTGGCCAGACTCGGGTCTAAAAGTTTTGATCTGTCCAGTCATTCCTACCTGGCATAGCTCAGACTCGTAATTCTTTTTTTAAGATTTATTTATCTTTATTTTGTATGGTTTGGACCTGTGCAGGCCCCATGCATGCTGCCACAGTCTCTATGAGTTCATATGTGAGTCAGTCCTGTTGTATCCAAAAGATACTATATCCTTGGAGTCATCCATCACCTCTGGCTCTTACAATCTTTCCACCTTCTGCATAGTTCCCTGAACTCTGGGGGGAAGGGGATTTGATGGAGACATCCCCATTTAGGACTGAGTGTTCCAAGGTCTCTCACTCTCTGCACATTGTACAGTGTGGGTCTCTGTGTTAGTTCACATTGACAACAGGAAGAAGCCCTGATGAAGGCTGAGCAAGATCCATACATATAGCAGAATGTCATTAGGAGTCATTTAATTGCAATGTTCCTTTAGAGCAATAGTATTTGTTTTTCCCCTAGGTCCGAGTTCAATCTAGTCCCAGATCCTTGGCCACCAGAGCAGTGTCGGGTATAGGTTCCATCTCATGAAATGGGCCTTAATTCCAATCAGATACTGGTTGCTTACTCTCACATTGTTTGTGCCGTTATCATACCAGTCTTCATGCAGACAGGTCACCATTGTTGATCGAAAGGTTTACAGATGGCCAACCCTCCACCCCCAACACACACAGACACACACACACACACACACACACACACACACACACACACACACACACACACAGACATATACACACATACACACACACACATTCCTGCTTTTCCCCTCATATGAATTTTAAAAAGGAATCTGTGTAGGTTACACATGTTAAATGTTCTCCTCTCATCCATATGTCTTTAGTCCTGACTGGTAGGCTCAGCTACACAGCAAATTCCAGAACTTTATAGACATGCAGAAATTATATATCAAATATACCTAATACACACTTACAGCCACATCATTTACTCACTTATCACATACCACATCATGTATCACAGAACACACATCACATGCCTACACACCACACAACACCCATTTACATAGGACGCACTGCACATTTGCACGGGACACTGCTCCCACACATTCACAATACACTGACACCCACACTCTCTCACACCCACCATCACACTTTGTATATCCACTCATACTCTCCCTCCTTTCTTCCCTTTCTCCTTTCCTTCCTTTTGCCTGCCCCAGGACTCTAAGGCAATCCCAGGCCATGGAGACCCCAGCTAGCTGTCTGGCAGATGTAGGCTGCTGGAAAGAGCTCTGCAAGTAGGATGTGAAAAACACTGATTCTAGCTGAAACTGGCCTCCATTAGCCACTCTAACCAGAAGCCTGAGGCTGCCCTCAGACCTCTTGGCCTATTGGCTGCCTGGAGGATATAGCATGCCAGTTGCTCAGAGCTAGTAGAGACCTGGAGAGAGATGGTCAGGGCAGGGCAGAGCAGGGCAGGCTGCTTACACCCACGTTTCCTCTTTCCTCTTCCTCTGCACCTGCTCTGAGCTCACATTCAACCTCCAGGCCTGAGGAAATTGTTGAGTTGTGTTTTGGAGAGCATGTGACAAATCCGGTGTGTGGGCGTGAGTGGGGGGTAATGTGCAGTCAGCCGTCCACCAAGGAGCCTGATAGAGAGTGGGCACAAGTGTCTGGAAAGCCTAGATTAGGGACCCTGGGAACTGCTGTCATCAAATGAAACACCCCTGAAGGAAATCCCGGTAAGTTACAGCTTTGCACATCTCCATGTTAAAGGACTTTTATAGCACTGACACATTGGTGATTTCTGCTGTGCAAGACAGTGACAGTTCCCAAGTTATCAGTGAGAACACACGCTCAGGGAAGCTTGCCCAAGGATAAATAGTGTCAGGCCTGGACAAACCCTCAGGCATTCTGTCTTGAATCCAAAGTTGTTTTCACAAGCAACCAGGGCCTCAGCGTCTCATTTCTCTCCATAAACGGGTCTGTCACTGGGTGTCCTGAAGAATGGCTCTCTCAGGCAGAGTTGCTATGTGACTTGTCACACCTGACTCTTAGTGACTTGTGCCTCTGTGAAGAAGGAAGGGCCTTTTGGAGACCACTGTGGGAGAATGAGGGCCGAAGTATAGCTGGGACACTGGACAAGCTGTGGCTAAGACCTCGGGAATTATATTCTGCATGGTGGGATGCCAGAGGCTGTGTTGTCTCACCTTCATTTATTCTCTAGATAAAGTTCAGAGAAAAATAGTAAATTGCTCAAAATCCATGATTAATATCACTATAAATAGTAGGTGCTCACAAGTATCCATCGGAGGAATTAACTGACTGCTAGTTAAGATTCAAGCAGCCAAGCTTTGGTCCACAAAGCCTTTGTGGGGCAGAATTGGTGATGAGGCTGTATTGTCCTGAAGACAGGGAAACAATAAATGACTTTAGCTCAGAAGCCAATGAATACATAGAAATCATGGGAGCCCCTCTGAGAAAGGTGCTGGAGCTTGGTAGCTGCTCAGAGTCCTGAGTTTCTTAGAGGCCCTTTGAACCCTAGGCACCCATTTTTATGTAACACGTGTTTTCTCAACACTTGATTTCCGCTGTGGTTTGCTGATGTTTTCTTTTTTAGACAAAGACTAGTTAGCAAACAAGAAAGATTATCATTTCCTCATTTTTAAGTCCTCACCCCTCAGGGGGGGACAGAGTCTCTTTCAAGCACCCAACTGTAGAAGGTGATCGCTCTGTCTCCTCTGCACGCCAGGGCCTCTTGGATGGGATCTGGCTTCAAAGGAACCATGTGCCTTTGGCTTTGGTTACTTTACTTCCTGCCAGGTGAGTGCCATGGGGAAACACTCCAGGTTAATTTCCAGGTTTCAATTAGCCAGAGGTAATCAATCGCCAGCCATCTCCAGCTCTAATGTTTCTGGACAGATTGAGTGGCAACCGGGGAAAGAACAGGAGGATGGAGACTTGTGGAGTGCTGGCCCCTCCCAGCCATGCAGCCTTCTTCACCCCTACCATCCAGTGCAGCTGGTAGATTTTTTTAAAGGTCGAAGGTGTCATGTATCCTAAATATTCACTTATGGGTCTTAAAATGGGTGTCTCCAAGGTTTGTTCTTCGTGTATCTATTTTTCCTTTCCTTAGATCTTTCTTTTCTTGAATTGGCAACTATTAAGTTCAAATGAAGACTCCATAGCCTATTCTCTAAACTTCGTATCTCAATTTACAACTGCCTGTCTGGCACCCCACTTGAATGACTGTGTCTAATGCCTTGCCTGAGAGACCTCACCGTTCATCGTAGAAACCAGCTATTCCATTTGTCCTAACCGTCCTTTAACATAAATGCCATTCAATGGCTCCCACTGTCTACCACATTAAAACCACCCTCCTCTCTTGTATTCTAATCATACCACAATCCCCGGTACCTTCTTCTGGCCAGCCAGGCTCTTCTTTGAACAAATGCTGCAGATCCCCTGCTACCATGTCCTCTCTCAGGCTGTCTCTGCTATGGGGACGTCATTCCTCCCAGTTTACCATTCACTGGTTCTTCTCAAACCTGCTCAGCTCTCACTCTTGAGCACCTCCTGAATCTAGCCACATATGTTGTCTCAGTGTGCTTATCTTACTTGGTTTGTCAATAATATACCATTTGCAATGGTTAAGCTCTGTTGGGGATTTGATTGGAGTAAAAAGTGCTGTGGTATTAACAGCGAGAAGACCCACCTTGCCTGCGGATTGTACCATGGGCTGAGATTATGCACAGAATAAAGACAGGAAAGAGAGAAAGTCTGCTGGGCACTGGAATTCATCTTCCTTGTTGACCCCCCCACCATCCCACCCCAAGATACAATCAAGAAGCTTCATGTTTCTGCTACCATAGCATCTATACCATGATGGTCTATGCCAGTTCTTAACCTTCCCAATGCTGTGGCCCTTCAATACAATTCCTCTTGTTGTGGTGACCCCTCAACCATAAAGTTATTTTCATTGCTACTTCATAACTGTAATTTTGTTATTGATATGAATTATAATGTAAATATCTGTGTTTTCTGATGCCCTTAGTTGACCCCTGTGAAAGGGTCATTCAACTCCTAAAGGGGTTATGACCCACAGGTTGAGAACCGCTGGTCTATACCCTCAAACTGTGAACCCAACGAGACCTTTCCTTACTGAAATTTCTTCTTTTCAGTATTTTGTTGCAACAATAAGAAAAGTAACTAATATTGGAAATTTACACCAAGAAGTGGGGTTACTGCTGTGAGAAATCTGACCTTGTGGTTTATAGGCCTTCAGAATTAGTTCTCAGGAGGCATTTTGAAACATGGATGATGTAGAGAAGTTCTAGAATGAGATAAGCAGAAGTTAATTGGGCCATACTGGTGAGAGCACAGAAGAACAGAAACACACACACACATCACACACACACACACACACACACTACACACATGTGTGCACACACACATACACCACATACACACCACACACACACATATGTAGCCAGCCCCTGTACTCACATACACTTGTGCACGATCTCTCTCATATACACCACACATATACAAACACCACACACACATACACACACACACACACAGAGAGAGAGAGAGAGAGAGAGAGAGAGAGAGAGAGAGATTGCACAGTAACTGTACAGAAAGAACTTTGGCTAAAAAAAAAAAAAAAAAAAAAACAAGGACTCCATCAGAACTTGGAGGAGGACTCATTTGTGTTATAACCTGGCAAAGAATCTGGCTGTGTTCTGTTTGTGTCCCCATAAGCTAAATGCTCCTGAATTCAAACGGACTAAGTTGTTTGACAGGAATTGTGGCATAGCATTCATACCATGGCATGGTTATGGCTCACTGTGTTTACCCAGATTTACAGTAAGAAAGAACAGAATGTGTGGAAAATGTTCTGCTTGGTAAAGAAAGGATCTTGAACTCAGTTAAAAATGCAAATAGACCAGACAAAAAAAAAGATCTTTGGTTCTTTAAGATGTTAGTGCAATTAGGGAGTGTTCTACTTAGGGTTTTTATTGCTGGAACAAAACACCATGACCAAAAAAGCAAGTTGGGGAGGAGAGGAGTTATTTAGCTTGCACTTCCATATCACTGTTCATCACTGAACAAGTCAGGACAGGAACTAATCATGTCAGGAACTCCGAGGCAGGAGCTGATGTAGAGGCCACAGAGGGAAGGGGTGTTGCTTACTGGCTTGCTCCTCATGACCTGCTCAACATGCTGTCTTATAGAACTCAGGACCACCAGCCCAGGGATAGCACTACCCACAGTGGGCTGGGCCCTCCCCCATCAATCACTAATTAAGAAATGCCCCACATATGAAGCCCAACCATATAGAAGCATTTTCTTAATTGAGGTTCCCTCTCCTCGGATGACTTTAGTTTTATGTCAAGTTGACATAAAACTATCTAGTACAAGGGGAAACCCGGGACTTTGCAATGGGACAGTAGGAAAGATGCCTTGAGCACAGTATTGCATCTCTCAAACTGGAGAGTGTAGTGATGCAAACTCATTTGACAAATTTTCATTAGAAAAGAGAGAGCTTAAATAAGGAGAATCTTCAAGGCATGATGCTAGAATAAAGGCAGCTTGGAAAGTGCTGTCTCAGGTTTACCCTCAAAGACACAGATCCTGTTCTAGCTGCAGTCCAAGGGGGGCATACTACATCTCAAGCGTATAGCAGAACTCGGCCTATCCACACACAGCTGCTTTTGCAGATGTACAAGATATAAGGGTGAAGGCCAGCACCAAGGTTCCAAACAGCCTCTGAGGCTAGACAAAATGCACGGGGTTGGATTTTCTGTATTTCTGTATTTTCTGAGCCATAAGCAACAGAGCAGGAATATATGGACTTAACATGATAGGAACATACAAAATACTTTAATCAATAGTTTATTGTTAATTTCAGTTTTTTGTTTGTTTGTTTGTTTGTTCTAAGACATGGTCTCCTGTATCCCAGGCTGGCCTCTAATGAGCTATGTAGATGAAGATGACCTTAAATTCCTAGTCCTCTTGCAGAGGCTCTCAAGAGCTAGAATTACAGGCATGAGCCATCATGCCTGGTTACATAGGACTGTGGCTCAAGCTCGGGGTTCTGTGTGTGCTGGGCGAGCACTGTAACAACTGATCCCCATCCCCACATCCCATCCCTAGCCCTTGATAATAACTGAATGACCAGGTTATGATATGTTGGCCTTTATTTGTTAATACTGCCCTCGGGCTACAAATATTAGGGTAGGCCTGTCCCTAGAGCACAGTACAACTACAGACATTGAGCCTTACGGGAAAGTCCCTCATAAACCAAGGCAGTATTTATTATAGGATGTGGGCTCCGAACCTTTTTACCTAGACCACTAATAAGAATACATATACATATTATGACTCCGTGCATGTGTGTGATGCATGCATGGTGGGGGAGACTATGCAAGTTTATTCTTTTGAAATTTTTTATTTTGTGCACATATGCCACAGCACGTATGTGATATCAGAGGATAATTTGGGGGAGTCACTTCATACCTTCTACCTACTTAAGGCAGGATCTCTCTTATTGTGTTGGCTGCTGTGCCATACTTTAATAAGGCAGTTGTCCTATGAACTTCCAGACAATTCTTTTTTCCCCACCTCCTATCTTAACATAGCAATAAGGGGATTGTAGATACATATCTGGGATTTTACATGGGTTCCAAGGACTGAGCTTGGATTCTCAAGCTAGTAGTTTCACCCACTGAGCCATCTCCCTGGACCCCCAGCAATTTATTCTTGATTCATAGCGTGAGGATGAGTTTGGCCTTCAGAACTTGGATGGTAGCATTATTTCCCAAGATAGAAAACTCTTTTTATGAGTGAGCATGTTTAAGAAGAGTTCTCTTCTGGCTGTTGTTTGATATTATCTTAAATATCCAATGGAGTCCAAGGGCCGGAGCTGGTTTGGATTGCAGAGGAGGTAATGACAAGACTAGAAACAAACATGTATTTGGTTAAAACTTAATCTATCAGCATCTGTATTTAAAGGGTCCTAGAGTAAATGAGCTAGTGTGGAAAGAGGAGGGAAAACAAAGGAAGAATAAGCCAGGGTACCGAACTCTGTGTAACCCCAGCACCAAGGGGTACATGGAGCTGGGAAAGTATGAGAGCAAAGAGCCAGCACAGGAACAGCGCTGGCAGCATGGCATCAGGGGACACAGAAAGTGGCCCTAGAAGGGAGGAGTCAGGTTTGTCAAATGCTACCAAGGGGACCAGTAAGATGGAGACAAACAAGTGATGGACAGAGACAGCAACGACGACAGCTGTGCTGACTTGGATGAGAGCTATTTTGTTGGACTTTAAGGGACAAAAGTTTGAATTTAATCAAAGAGAAGTGGGAAGAGTGGATATGAATTTGAGGAGACTTTTGAGAAAGCAAACAGAAAGGAGCAGAGGAGATGCAAGCATCATCCCAGGGCGCCAATATCAGGCTTTGTGTGTGAGCTAAGCCAATGATGCAGCAGAAAGGGGGATCATTGCAGTAGGACATTCTAAAACAAGAGAACGGTACACTTGGGCTGCACTGAGGGAGTGGAGTGTCCTGTGAAAGGAAATAGGACTGTTTTCCATGGCAGAACTAATGTCAGGTGACAGGCCCCTACACACGCAGGTTGCTGAGGATGGAAATGGGACACTGGGTGGACAGTTCTCATGCTTTTACATTTTTTATTACATTTGTTTGGTTTGGGGTTTGTCTATTTGGGGGATGTGCCACAGCATGCATATGGAGGACAGCGGACAGCTTGAAGGAGTCGGTTCTCTTTCTCCATCACGTGGGCACTGGGAATGAAAATCGCCAGGATCCGCACGCACCTTTACCTGCTGAGCCATCTCACCAGACCTCTCATCCTTTTTAAAGGAATTCGGAAGATTGCAGTCAGGGCCTGGGGAGGGAGGTAAAATGCTTTCCCCCAAAGCATGAGAACTGAGTTCAGAGCCACAGCAGCCGCATAAAGCCAGGTTCAGTAACACACACACACACCTATGAGCCAGGGCTGGGAAGACAGAGACAGGATACCCAGGGTTGCTGGTGAATGAGTGAGCTACAGGTCCAGGTAAAGAGAACACCCCCCCACACACACATACACACATACCTCATAACCTATAACCCTTTTGATAAACATGCAAACCTCAGGCCAGTTGACTCCTTCCTTTTGAGCATTCTGCTGCTGATTGGATTGAATCCCACTCCCACCTAAAAAACCTCCAGAGTGGTCTCAGCCCTCAAGGCCCTATGTTTTTCACCTACAAAAGGCTATAGAATATCATTCACATCTTAAACGCGTTTCTATCCCACTATATACTGACAATGACTTTACAAAGTACATCATTCCTTCTCCTCTACTATTGCTGGCAGTTTAGTCACCAATTTAGAGATCACAAGCTAGATGTCACTTAATTGCCTCTACGACATTACTATCACATCAGTGCGTTCCTTCAGATACCTTCTCCCACGTTCTCTTTGTTCCCAAGAATCACTTTTAAATGGGCCAGAATTGCATCTGGGGTGTTCCTTTTGAAAGCGGTCCCTACACACAGAGCGAGTGACCATTCCCAAGGACAAAAGACTGCTCACAGGAATCAGCGAGCTCTCTAGATGATGATATGGGCAGCAGCATTTCAAATTTACAAACTACAACATTGGACCTGGATTATCTCTGTCTTGGAAATCTCTGTCTGTAAAGAGAGATAGTTAGTTTGTCCTGGATTCTGGTCATTTGTGTGATTCCCTCAGCCCCTAGATCAGGCCTTCCCCTTGACTGGAACTTTGTGAATATGTTACCTTTCCATTGCCTGAGTCCAGGCAGGGAGCCATCTAGTGAGTGAGTTCTGCTGGCAGTAGTTTTAAGCTGTGTTGGGTTTTGTGTATGGTCTGCGGGGTTTCTTGGCAGACCAGGTGCTTCTGGCTAACCCCCTCTGCCTCTTCCTCTCTCTGGCGTGTTAATATGGCTTCACTTTCTCATCTCCACGTTCCCTGTGGATATTTTCTAGTCTTCCTCCACCCTCGCCTAACCTCCATCTCTAGCCCATTTTTTTCCACCTTTCTACCCCTCAATACTCTCCTCTACCAGAAATATCCTAATCTAAAAGCCTCAAGCCCGCTGACATTCTAGTCTTTTTAAACTCTCATTTGACTAAACTCATTGGAGCTAGTCAGAATGCACAGTCTGTAGATAAACATTGGTAAGCTGCCAGATTTCCCTGCTGTGTTCTTTCTCACATCCCCATCTTGATACAGCTGGTTCTTTGTCATCTGAGAGGCCCTTTTCACCTCCACCTTAGCCCTCCAGAACCACCTAAACACACACATGCACACTTTACCCTGTCAATCCTTGTGGTCTGAATGAGAATGGCCTGAATAGGTTCTTATGTTTGAATGCTTGGTCCACACTTAGTGGAACTCTTTGGGAAGGATTAGGGGGTGTGGCCTTGTTGAAGAGGTGTGTCATTGGGAGTGAGTTTTGAAGTTTCCTTGCTCTCTCTCTCTCTCTCTCTCTCTCTCTCTCTCTCTCTCTCTCTCTCTCTCTCTCCTTCTTACTTGTAGATCAAGACATAAGCTCTTAGCTACTGCTGCTGCAACACCATGCCTGTCTGCCTGGAGCCATGTCTCTACCACCAAGATGGTCATGGACTCTAACCCTAAGCAAATGCTCTCTTTTATAGTTTGTCTTGGCCATGGTGTTTTGTCAACAGAAAAGTAACTGAGATGACCCTTTTCTCAGTATATGGAGGCACATTGTCATCTGTGGCTTTTTCCCTCTTGTGTAGCAGGTCAAATTACACTATCCCTTTCTCCTCTTGCTTGTTGTGGCCCACAACTTCTACTTCTGCCTGATCTACTCCCTCCCAGACATATGTATGTTCACACCTACACATGTCCACTCTCACTCATACATACCCTGCTCTCCTTCCCATGAGTTCTCTACACTAGTGACTAATATAGCCTCCTCAGTTGCCCTTCACGCCGTTGGCTTAGGGTACAGTTTGGGCATCACTTCTCTCAAAGCCTTCCTCCTGGGAAATCATCCCCTTGGTATCCTGAATCGGGTGCTCCTGTTTGCTATCTCTCTGGTGGAATCTATTACATTGTGTGGTAGAAGCTGTCTGTTGGGGTAATTTACCACATGACTTATTGTACGATGGAGGGATACACACAAAAGGCATCCAATGTGTGCTGGTTGGATGGTTTGATAGAGTTGAAAGGAGGACTAGGTAGACTAAAGGATCTGAGGGGGAAAGGATTCTGGAAGGGAAATGTGCTACAAGAATGTGATACTTTTCTCACCCCATATTGAAGCCACTTGAGGGTTATGCGTCATTGGGGCTTATTCCAGGCATACTATTTCTCTTTGGAGTAGGCCTTGTAGCTATATCTAAGTCCTTACAGTCTCAGGTTTAATTCTGTGGCTGATGCTGAGAACCTGGGATGGGCACAGAGTAAGCCTGAATGAGAAGAATAGGACCTTGAAGAAACTGAACACGAGTCAATGGGCAGAGATCATCATGGAGCTGAGGCTGGGCTAATGACAGGGAGATGGCTAGATCTAGCCGTGAGTGTGAGGGTGGTCTGGGTTCAGCACTAGGTTTGGAGAGATGCCTGAGGTTGAGGATGTGACTGAAGTTGAGATGCATCTGAATATAGGGTTTCTTCTACATTAATTTCTTCTCCTTGCAGTGTCTGGGGCCCTGAAGGTCCTCCCAGAAGTACAGCTGAATGCAGAGTGGGGTGGGTCCATTACCATCAAGTGCCCACTCCCTCAAATACATACGAGGATGTATCTGTGCCGGCAGATGACTGACCCCCAAATATGTACCACTGTGGTGTCCAGCAGCTTTGTCAAGAAGGACTACAAAGCACGAGTCACCCTAACACCATGGTTGAATAAGAAGCTGTTCCTGGTGGAGATGACACAGCTGACCGAAAGTGACAATGGAGTCTATGCCTGTGGTGTGGGTACAAACACAGACCTGGGCAAGACCCAGAAAATCATTCTGAATGTCCACGATGGTAGGTGTTTGGAAAACATTCCCCCTTTGGGAAAACTGAGGCAATTTTCTAACTGTAACTTCCCCGAGCTACTGCTGTGTTAGGCAGCCCAGTTACAATGCAGATCAACACAGCCTAAGGCTAACACCCCAGCCTAGAACCTTCTATCCACAGGGAATGAAAAAAAATAAGATGGATGCTGTGTGTTGCCTGTCGTACCCAGGGCATGAGTGGAGAGGAGACCATTAGCCTGAAGAGAGGCTTTGAGGCTGAGGAAACCAGAAGGGTCATGACTGTCCTGTGTAATTATCTCATGAGATGTCTGGGCTGGATGAAAGGAGATTCAATGATCAAGCCATATCTAGTCCACATTTGTTACTGTATGGTTGGAACTTTCATTTCTTCTTACACCTGACCTTTCCTCTTTTTTGGTGACTTCCTAACTACATGCATGAGTGTTCAGCAGTTTATAACCCCAATAGCCTGATGGTCTTATAAGGAATGTTGGATGTGTTGGCAGGAAAGGCCAGCTCCCTCAGGGAAGCCCCATGCCCGGTTCCTTTTCTGCTTGCCTTTGGGTGGCCTTGGTTGCGTCAGCTTCTACTTGAACCTCCAGTCCTAGCTGCTCCCTGGTGATCACCAGCATATCCCTCTTGCCTCCAATAGAATATGAACCATTCTGGGAAGATGAGCCTACCACTGAGCCTCCACCGTGGTTTCACAGATTCCTGCAGGAGCATATTCCCAGCTGGCTCCATGAGGTTGGACATGCCAGTTCTGAAGGTCAGTCCATCAAATCAAGACCAGCAGAAGAGGGAGAGGGTTTTTGTTTTTGTTTTGGTTTTGGTTTTTTTTTTTCAGCTTAATGATTGGCTAGCAAAGCAGAAATGGGTTTATCCCTGCTTTAAGAGAGTTGGAGAAGTCAGATATCACCACCAGGTGGCACCAAACCAAAGTAAAAACGTGCCCAATTCACAAACACCAGCTCCTTTGTGAATGACTGTTTCCCAGCTGGTTCTTGCTACCTGCAGGGATGTCTTCTGCTGGCTGGTAGCTAGTGTTTTTAACAACTCCATCTGGCAATTAAAAGATGACTGTCATACTAACATTTCCATTGGATACGCCACATAAGTTAGACACACTAATTGAACATTGTTATAACCCCAATAGCCTGATGGTCTTATAGGGAATGCTGGATGTGTTGGCAGGAAAGGCCAGCTCCCTCAGGGAAGGCCCGTGCCCGGTTCCTAGGAGACCCTGCTGGGGCCAAGAGAAACAGATCTGCTGGGGCAGACCACAGATCCAAGAGTGTGACTGACAGGGATGGAATGGGGGAGAATAGATGAGCATAGAAAAGTAAGATACACT